CGGAGCGGGAAGCGCAAGCGTGGAGGTGGCCTGGAAGACCTCTTAAGTGCTGCCTGGGGAGGGGACCGACGACAGATGCGAGGGTGGGTGCGCTGCGGCCACGCCTCCCCGCGCGACGCCGAGCCTCCGCATTGGGTTACACTCGGGGCGGGAGCGGAGCCTCCAGAGGAACGACCCAGGGACCCACGGAGGTTACCCCTCAAAGTCGGGGAGGCGGAGGTGCCGCTTTCAAGGTCTTTCCCTTTGACAGAGGCGGAGCTGGATCTGCAGAGAAATGCTCTAAGGCAGGGACTGAGCCGGGGGGTGGGGGTCACGGCCACCTGGCAGGCTCGTGGGGACCACTGTGACTCTGCGATGTCCCCACTTCAAACCCGTCCTTCTCAAAGGGAAGTCGCGAATCCCAGGCCTGCTGTCACCAGTAAACATTAAAGAGCCACTTCTCAGTGTGACCCCAAAGTGTGACATCTTCTGAGGTGGAGTCGGGTCACCTACCCAGTCCACTAAGATCCAAGTCAACTGTCGCTTAAAATCTCAGGCTTCTGCTACAAATTTGCCTTAAAGTCAGGAAAATGAGTCAGCTACAAGTTTCAGTGTTTCTTGTTTGCCCTCACTTGAGCCCCAAAACTGTGCCCAAAGCTTTGGGGCAATGGGACTTCCTGCTACCCATACCTGCCTAGGTGGCTTCCAAATTGGGGCAAAGAAAATTGGTAAATGAGTCCCCCCCTTTTTTCTTCTCCCCAGTTTAAGAGCTATGAAAGTCTAGAATGAGTCTCCAGTATATTCTTGGAGGTGGATTTGGCACAGACCTGTCAGGGCTTGACTTGCTGACAGCAGAAGGCAAGCAGAACTATGGCGATCATGTTGGTTTGTTGTTTTAGCCAACACTTGCGAAACCATCCTGCACAGAGCCGAGGAAGGTCTGATGTGGTTTGCGCCCGCAGGTGAGCCACACTCCACGGATATGCTTGCACAACGTACCCGCTGCCGCTACAGCCTTTCTCTCTGTGACCTGCATCTTCTGCTCCTCGAGTAGATGTCTTTACCTCTCCTCTAAGTCACTTTAAACCAGAAAGGAATTTGTTCTAGGAGGGAGGTCAGGCTCTAATTACTTGGAAAATCACAGTGAAACTGGGTTTTGGGGGGAATTCTGTGTACCTCCACCTAAAAATCTGTCCCAGCAATTCCGGTCACAGGGCTGAGGCAGCAGAGAGTCACGCCAGCTCGGAAACACCCCCTCTCCTGTTGGCACTCCTCTACCTTTCTTTGCCACACAACCTCAGGGCTGCAGAGAACCTAGGCAATGCCCTCCTCTGGGCCTCTCCTGTCACAGGCCAGGAGGATAAGGCAGAGGATTCTTTCCCAGCTGGAGATTTTGCCCAGGCAGTGACCAGCACTGGGAATGGAGGCCTCAGCTCTGCTCCCAGGCCCATGCCCACCTGGCCTGCTCTCAGCAGGCCTCTCAGTAGACCCATCTTCAGTTTGGTAGAGAGAAACCAAGAGGGGAACAGGCAGGGGCTTGTTGCCATTTTGACTATCCTAGCGGTGACAGATCTCAGCCAAACCTCGCCACCGAAATCCCAGCCACTGCTTATTTTGCCTAAGAACAGAGAAGGGAGACAGCTGCCTCTAATTTTATCCCTTGCCCTGGAAAGATTCTGGGTTATTACACCTAACACGAGAGTCTGCCACTTCTTGGTAGGACCCTTAGTCCTTTAGAACAATGGGATTTCTGAACCAGATTCAGCTGAAGGATGGTTGGTTGTGCACGTACTGTTCCCTCCCTGCTTGTTACTGCTGTTCTGGAATTCAAGGACTGCTAATGTTCTTATGTGGAACTGGGTGCATTTTATGTTACTAGATTTCTGTGGCTTCCTGTTATGGATTTTGTACGTGGCTCTGTGGGGCGGTCCTGGTTGATTTTAAAGGCCATGGTGGGTTAGCTGGCAGAGAGCTGTGGCCTTGGCTGGCAGCTGAGAAGATTTTGTGGGAGGGCTGCTGAATAGTACCTACTTCTTCAAGGTCTGTCAGACTTGGTTTCTAGAAATAAAGGTGAAAGATTGCTGCTGTCAAACACATTTGCTTTTCTGTTCAAAGCTCAGCCTGTTATTTCAGCCTCTTTGGTTGATAAATGTTTGGTGTGGCTTCATTTCCCTCTCTCGCTGTATAAATCAAACTTCCCCAATAAACTGGGCCTTGTGCAGCAACTCAACTGTGCCCAGTAAGGAAGGTGATGAGAAGCTTTTCTGAAGGCAACCTACACAATTTCACATCAGAAGAACTAAAACTATTTAAAGCCCCTTAAACTTTCACCTGGTACAAATTTTATTTTTGTGGTTATCCTATCATTTTTTTATAACAATTCCAAGTCATTTTATTTTATTTTTCCTCATTGAGTTTATTGGTACATTTTAGTATACATTACAGTTACATTCATTATTGGGATCTTGTACCTTTCAATGACAGGTCTTGGTTCTCATTTTTTTCCCCTTGTCCCTGCCCTCCCTTCATCCCTTCCTCCCCTCCCCCTTTACAAACACTTCATTTCCATATTCTCATATTTGTTTTCTTTTCCCTTATTAGCTTTCCCCTACCCTTCCCACTTTCCCTACACCTTTAGCACCTTTCTTCCTATTTCACATTGTCAATTATATCATTAGGATCTTATATACTATTACAGTTTATTCACACCAGAGAAACTATTTGTTATTTACCCATGTGTGACTTATTTATTTCACTTAGGAGTATAACAGAACTAAGAGACAACCTACAATGTGGGAAAAAATTTTACCAGCTGCTCCTCAGACAAAGGACTATTATCTAGAATATATAAAGAACTCAAAACAATCAGCCACCCCAAATATAAAGACCCAATTCAAAAATGGGCATCTGAAATGAACACACATTTCTCAGATGAAGTAAAAACAGCAAGTAAAAATATGAAAAAAATGTTCAATATCACTGATCATTTGAGAGATGCAGATGAAAACAACACTGAGATTCCACCTCATCCCACAAAGAATGTCTGAAATCAACCGATATCAAATGCTGGCGGGGTTGTGGGGAGAAAGAACCCTTCTTCATTGTTGGTGGGAGTGCAGACTGGTGCAACCACTATGGAAATCGATATGGAGATACTTCAAAGAGCTGGGACTAGAGGTTCCATTTGACACTATGGAAATCAATATGGAGATACCTCAAGAGCTGGGACTAGAGGTTCCATTTGACCCAGCCATCCCTCTGCTGGTTATCTTTCCAAAAGGTTATCCTATCTTATGAAATATTTGGAGAACAATTTGTCCTGTCATTGTGTTTTTCTTTTGTGCTTAGGAGAAGTCATTACATAAATACTTTCAAGAGGTTAAATGAAAACTGCTGGCCTTTTTTTTTTCTTTTTCTTTTTCTAAATTGATTCCAAAGCCTGGCCAGACAGTTGTGAAAATCTTACAACTTTACTTTTGTCCCGTCACCCTGCAGTCTGTTTATTTGGAGAGTATTACCTGTATAAACGGGCTCACAGAAAGTGCTATCAATAGGTCAACTTTGGGTTGTTTTGTTTGTTTTTTGATATCTCTCCTCCCTCTCCCAGCCATTCTGACTTTGTAATGCCACTAATGTCAAGTTGAGAGATAAAGTCACTCCCTGTAAATAGGGTGCTTCGGTGAACTGCTGAAAAGAGAGAAAGGCAAATGGATCGATCATTATGTCTTTCTCCCAAATTGCTATAGCCTGTGTTTTTTTCATAGTCCTCAGAGTTGCCTACGAACAACTGGCTCTTGGAACATTTTATATTTTCCTCAAAATGATGTGTGGTCATTGCCACAACTGAATGGAAGGGGGTCTTCTCAGTCATTAATTATTGATTTATAGGGGGTGGAACATGGACCATCTAAGCTGCATCTCTCAGCAATTGATCAAAAGGAGGTCTGGGGGTGTAGCTCAGCAGTGGAGCACTTGCCTAACGTATGTGAAGCCCAGGGTTGGAGCCCCAGCAATGAAACAAGCATTGCCAAATAGGGGCAGAATATAAGGCTGCCTCCCTAGGGCCACACAAAGGCTGGAGTGGGGGTGGAGGAGTTGTTCTTTTATTTATATATTTATTGGTGCTAAGGGTCAAACCCGAGGCCTCAGGCATGCAGGTGAGTGCTCTGTCCCCGAGCTACATCCCCAGAACTTGTCTTGCAAATATAAATAGGTGGTTTGTGTCCTTCAGCTAAGAGCAGCGGCCAGAGTGGGCCTCAGAATCACCTGTGTAAATGCCAGGCTCACCTCACACTTTGAAGCAGAGCCACATTTTATAAACCCAGCATGGGGATAGACACAACAAATATTTCCACTCTTATAAGGTCTGCAATTTAATCATTAAAATGAACAATAATGAGTCTGGGGATGTAGCTTAGTGGTAGACACTTGCCTAGGAGGCATGAAACCCTGGGTTTCATTCCCAGCACCACAAAAAAGAAAATAGATGTGCTGAAATTCTTAAGCCTTATACTTGCTCTGATGTTGAGTATCATCTTAGCATCTGAGCAGGTGGCAGGTGGAGATCATTTTAACGCAATAAGCCTTTGGGGGCAGGAATGGAGACTGCGGACGGCATCCAGGACTCCACGCTGAGCTTCATCTCCAGCCTTTTTGTTTGCTTTTAGTTTGAGACACGGTCTCACTAAGTAGCTTAGTTGCCCAGCTTATGTTTGAGCTTGCAATCTTCCTGCCTCAACACCCCAGAGTACTGGGACTATCGGCATGCACTACCATGCCTGGCAAAGAATACGCTTTTACAGGTACATATTGGGATGAGCACCTTAACACGTAATGCTACTAACCTTTGTATACCTGGTCAGGAATGAGCAAAATGCCTTTAAAATTAT